AAAAATGAAAGTTAAAAGATAAGATGAATGAAAAATGGTGAATAAATGACTGTACATGTAAATATGTTTATGAGAAATAAAAATAAAAACTTTTTTGAAAAAATAATAGAAGCCAGGGGTTTAGCCATAGGAAGCTGACTTACAGCTGGGATAAAAATGAAATGTCAAGTGTCCATAGGGTTTAACATAAGTCACAGATGTTTTACACCTGCCAGTTGAGTGAAAAATCATCCCTAAATATTTAAAGTCTGCTGCTATCAGAATCAATTACAAGGAATAGTAATTGGGACTTAAGCAAGGAACAAGCCACTGAGATCTTATTAGTAGATTTAATAAGAGGTTTAAAGGGAAAGCACAAAAACACCAATTAGTATGTTCAGATGAATCAAAGCATGTTTTTATGTAAGTGAGAGGAAGCCTCTCTCTCCTGAGAAGGCAAATCAGCCCATACCCAAACATGGTTTACACAATGGCATCTAACCTCTTTATTAATGTAAAAGTAATCCAACTTCACTGCAGCTTTGTGTCTATGCTGTTTATTAATTATCCAGGCATGTTTTTTTTTAGTTTTACAGAAGATACTATCTTTGCTTTATCAAAATTATCCTTTACATGCTTGCCAAACCTGACCAACCTGGGAGGCTCCAGATCTGATGGCTTCAAATGAGTGCCATGTGGTTACATACATACCTCTAAAATTAAATTCTGTTTACATTCATAGTAATTCCTGTTATTACATTTGTCCACCAGTGTCAGTTATAACTCTGCAACTGTGGGGAAAATAGCTCAGCAAAGCAGCTAAAGAAAGGTACAACTAATGATAATGGATGCTCACCTTAGACTACATAAAACACTAGCAGCCCATTATCTACCACAAAACATGGTATCTTCCGAAAGGTCTCATCTACAAAATAGAGGATGCCAGATAGAATATTTTTCAGCCTTGAAAGCAGCATTCAAAACTACAAGGCTTACCACAGAGAGCCAAGAAACATAACATGAACAATTATATTGCAACTCAAAATAATATACTGTAGAAGCAGAGCCACTTCAAAACAGAACCCAAAGCAGCCCTCAAAACTCTAAATAAGGACCAAAACCTCACTACCCTCTTAGCATACAAAGGCTAAACCACTGTTATCATGGGTAGAGTGCAATGCATACAGAAAGCCAAAGAACTAGTGAGGGGCAAAGAAACTTACATCCTAGTAAATACCAACTCAATATAGAAACTGGGCAACTAAATAACAAAAACTGTCAACAGCCTCACCAAGAAAGATCAAATCACAAAAGAACAGTGGTGGATGAAAAGCAGTGAATCTTTCATACTTCTGCTGATGCTCCAAAATACAGACACCCAACATATCAGTTTGTCCAATTTTATCATTATCAGGATCCCAACTTATAATATAGCTGAAGTACTCATTTTAAAAAGCTTGAAAATCTTATAGAGGGGAAGAAAGATCTACTGCAGCAGCCTAACCAAATAGATTAATATTTTTTTTAATTTGTAATTTTATTATAACATATATGACATTCACATAACATACCACATATACATATCTTATCTCTTTTAAACATTGTTTCTTCGTGGAAAAAAGAAAGAAAGAAATGAAGACATATGGGAGGAAAGATATAATAACAGAAAGAAGACCACCACAAATAGATTAATATTTAATATTTAAATACCCAATTCATGAAACTCATCAACCTTTGCTTCACTACCTACTTTCAGTTCAATGGACAAACTTAGCAACACATCAAAGAACATGCATGAGATCATCACTCTCACGATTTATAGCAGAAAAACTATAGCATTTCCACACATACACATGGATCTTTGTTCCATTTTCCTACAATAGAGAAAACGTCTTTTACTAAAACACACTCAAGAGTGTCTTGGCTAAGAAAGTAGAAAAAGCTGATGTTTCAACAGTCTTAGAAAACTGAGCTGTGACTCCAGGGGCAGGTTTCAAAACCCGTTGCTACTGGTTTGCTCATGGATGTGGGCGCGCACAGGTGCAACACTTCTGCGCCTGCGCAGAAGCGTCCAGGAGGGTGGGCGGAGCCTCCCACCCCCACTGCTACCGGTTCGCCTGATCCGAGACGAACCAGTAGCAACCCACCACTGCATGACTCCCTTCAGAATGTCAACCAGCTGAAACCCAGAAGAACAAGAAATGCAAATCGTCCTATATCTGAAGATCATTGCTATGGATAACTTTCAACCAAGTATGGATTTCAAGAAAGAAATTATGAAACTCATCTTCCCAAGACAAATAAGCCTTCATAACCAGTCCAATTATCTAATTTGCACCATTCTTTCCCCAATCTGAATTTAGGGCAAAATAAGGAAAAAATGTTTTTATTTCAGTGAAATATTTCAGTGTTAACAGTGAAAATTTCAGTGTTAAATCTGAAGTGAAAAACAACTAGGAGGAAATAAGACAACTTTTTTTCAAAGAAAGAGTTCCAAGTTCTAAAGTTCTTCTGACTGCAATGACTGTTTAAAGAAAGCAACCTTTCTAGAAAGCAGCTTTAGTCTAGATCTCAAAGAGGAAACTTGTGAATGAATATGCATTTCAAATATGAATCTCCTTATTTTCAAGATTTTGTTGCATATCTTTAAAAAAAAATAGTTTGAGACATCATGTGGAGTTGATTTCCTGGTGTGGTCTTATCTAGTGGGCCTGACATCAATCTTGCAGTGTCTGTTTTGCTATATCTCCACCTCCTTATATTCACTGTATTTGGGAGTTGTCTCCCTGAGCTGCTTCCAAATGTTATCCCATTGTTTCAGCCCCTTTTGCCCCGGTAACAACAACGTATTTCCATCTAGGTCATCTTCCTTACTCTCTACATTCAGTGACAAGTGCACATAGGTGCTTTGCCTCCCACCCCCACCCCGCTGAATTTCTTGATCTAGCAATTGATTGGGAAACCAAGAGTTCTACCACTGAGGTTTCAATTATTCATTATATTGTTTCATTATAAATTATACATTTCCGGGTATTAATTTCCTCTGGATCCAAATCTATCTGAATGAATTTGTCATATTGTGGAAGGTTTAGAATATGTTCTGTAGAGAGAGAGAAAATGAACCCTAACTCGTACTTGTAGTCTGATAGCATCTATCATGACATGATAGCATCTGTCATGCCTCCCCAATTTATTCATCTGCATACGGTCTCATTGTCTATAAGAACAAAAGCTTGTTGATCTAAGTGGAAGAACTAGAGATCATACAATATTAACTGGATGCTTGGAGTTTTAGAAAATGTATATTGTGCTTGGCTTCCATGGCATACCAGATGGTCATCCCTCGTGCCATCTTAACCATTCAGTGAGTGTTCCAGATTCAGAGGTTAACAGCCATGTTGATTAACTCATGGAGTGGGCTCCATGCCTATTGTTCTTTGTGGATGACTAGAAATAGAAAGACCATTGCACTACAGTCAAAATGAGGACTGTCATGTGAAACCCCTGAGCAATGTCTACCTAAAAATATACCTGAATCAATTGTAAAGGATGAAGGAACCCATCCTTGTTGTAAAATGTCTGCAGACTATAGAGTTTGGTAATGGTATTTGTTCAGTGCCCTAAATTTACCTGACAAGCTCTGTAAAATTGGTCTCCTAAATCTCTGGACTGATTTAGCTTTCTAGTGAATTTGCAGAGCTATTGTACTGCTCTGCAAATTCACTAGAAAATTAAATCAGTCCAGAGCAGAGGTGATATTCAGCAGGTTCTGACCAGTTCTGGAGAACCGGTAGTGGAAATTTTGAGTAGTTTGGAGAACTGGTAAATACCTCCCCTGACTGGCCCCGCCCCCATCTATTCTCTGCCTCCCAAGTCCCAGCTGATCAGGAGGAAATGGGGATTTTGCAGTATCCTTCCCCTGGAGTGGGGTGGGAATGGAGATTTTACAGTATCCTTCCCCTGCCACATCCACCAAGCCATGCCACACCCACCAAGCCACGTCCACAGAACTGGTAGCAAAAAATTTTGAATACCATCACTGGTCCAGAGGTTATGATCCTGGTGAAGACCAATGAGATGATGATCTAGATAAGGATAAATATAAGCATACTCCTTCCTGAGGCAGGCCACCACTACCATACAGTGATTAAGATATGCCAAAATGATCAACTAAAAGTAATATACTGCATGAATCATATGAAGTAATGTACTGCATGAATCAGCAAGTGTATATATAGAAAGCATGTATTTTTTTCTTAAGACATTCCAGAGTGCCAGACCTAAGTACTTCTATTCAGACCTGTAGTAACTCATATATTTATCTATTTTTTTTATTCATAATTGTGATTCACACATTCGTTGGATGTTATCTAAGAGACTGTAGGTGGCAAAATGTTGCAGTCTCTACAACTGTGCAGTCATTGTTCCAATTTACTCTCTAGCTTCCTTGGAATAATTCATCTTGGATTGTTAAAAGGGGTATTTCCTGACAACTATTATCCTCACTGAGAGCATTGTATAATTCTGAACTATTTGCATATTCTATTATGACTTTGAATATCAGAGAGGATACAAAATGTCTGACCCAAAAGGCACAAGGATTGAAGGAGTCTTTAGCAAAATCAAATGTATTTTGCAGCAGGGAAGATGCAAATATATTAATTCCCTGCTGTGAAAATCTACTTCCGTGTGTGTGCATGCATGCATCGCAGGGATCACAATCTCTTAGGCTGGTACAGCATTTAATGCACGACTTCCAGTAAACGCAACTCTCGATGAAGCTTCATGGTAAAAAGAAGAAAGGCTAGAAAAGGACCTTTCTCAGCTTGCAATATATCAATGCTCTCCAGAAATACACCCTGCAATTTTTTTCCCAATAGCCTTTTATTTTTGTGTACATTCATGCTTGCAACAATTGTCTCTCCTCTTCTCCCCACATAGTGTCCCAGAAAGGACCAGTAACGTAGCTATTGCCCTTCCACTGGGGAAAAAAAACCCACCTCTGCTTTATGTCCACTTACCTTGCATCTGCCATTGCTGCTCTGACTGCTGCCCAGGCCGCTACAAAGACAGCTGGGAAACCTATAAGTATGAAAAATGGATTGCTTACTGTTAATTGCTTCTCTTGAGAAATGAAATAAAAATAGAATATCCCCTTTTTTCGGGGAAAGGAAAGGAACGGAAAAATTTGCATAGAGCAGGCCCCACAGGGAACAAAGTGCCTTCTGCTCAATGGAGTAGAACTTCCAAGAGCTCACTATTCAAAGCAATTGCATAGCCCTGGGTGCTTCTAACACTCAGCATCTGCAAGAGGTTAGCATTCTGAGCACAGATATCTATTATCCACAAGGTACAGAGGAGAGGGAGGAGAGTGACCTGTTGTAATGTTAGTCACTTCCAATGAAATCTGTATAGGAAAAAAGGTCTACTCAGCGTAGAAAGAAACTGCAACACAACCTTTTGTAACAAGTAGCACCTCCAACAGTAGCCTTAAAATAATAAATGAACTCCAGATCAGCTCCCCCTTCAGAGGAAACAGCTCTAGGACAGATGTTCAAAACTTTTTCTGGCATGGGGCTTCCATCTGACTTGCAGGGTATGATACAACAAGTAGCTGGTGGGGCGGAGACAAAACCAAATTTGATTTAATTTATACTGAAATTGAATTAACATGAATAGATTTAATACAATTATGTTCCATTATGAATGTAATGTTTCTTGCAGTGGTGGGATTCAAATAATTTAACAACCGGTTCTCTGCCCTAATGACCGGCTTGGTAGGTGTGGTTGAGTGGGCATGGCCAGGGGCGTGGCAGCATTCAGCCTCCTGCAGCACTCTACTAGTCAAAACGGGGCATGGGGGTTAATTACAAAATGTGGGCTTTGCTTTGTGACATCCAGATCCAGCGAACAAGGGGTGAAAGTGCTTTTGTTTGGTTATGAAGAAATATCCCCCCCGTCAGATGTACACTAAATGTAGACCAGTGGTGAAATGTAAAATTTGTTACTACCGGTTCTGCGGGCGTGGCTTGGGGGGGTAATGTGACTGAGTGGGTGTGGCCAACTTTTTTTTTTACTTTTAAAAGCATTTTTTCTACAACCTTAAGAGGTTGCAGAAAAAAATGCTTTTAAAAGCCTCTGACGGTCCCAGCTGAGCCACACAATCATCAGAGGCTTTTTTTTTTTTTACTTTTAAAAGCATTTTTTCGGCGGAAGAGGTTGTAGAAAAAATGCTTTTAAAAGTAAAAAAAACAGCCTCTGATGATCGCATGGCTCAGCTGGGCATGGGGGGAGGGGCAGGGATTTTTGCTACCTGTTCTCCGAACCACGCGCCGCCGTCGCTACCGGATCGGCCGATCTGGTCCGAACCGGGAGCATTTCACCCCGATGTAGACTGACTTTTAGCTACACATCTTCCCAGCAAACAGCAAATTTTGAAGCTCCAGGTAAAGAGGATTGTTGTGGCCCGCCAGCGGCCAGCAGAGCTGGCAGCAGATTCAGACAGTAAGGAGGTTGGGGAGGAACATTGGCCAGTCCTGGAATCTGGGGAAGGCTCAGACGATGGCTCTGAGTCAGAGGCAGAGAGGGGGCCAAGGCCATCTGGTAGTTCTTTGCTGCCTCCAGTCTCCGGAGGCTGGCGTCAGCAAGGCAGAAGAACAGTGTGAGTCTGTTCCCAGTGTGCGCATGCACAGAGCTGCCAGGAGACAGGAACAATTAAGAAAACAGGGTCAACTTGGATGTAAGGCTTGGAGATGATTGGCCCCTCCCATAAGACATAAAAGAGAGGCGAACAGGACGTGAGCTTTTGCAGGAAGCAATTAGTTCATCTGGCCGATTCAAGATTTGAAAATGCTGTTTGTGACTCTGTGCCAAGTTTGGCCTTGCCTGCGTCTGGAAATTAGCTCTCTGGCAGCATTCCACGTGAGATAGGTGGGTGTTGATAACCTTCCTCTGAAAGACTGTTTATCAAGCCTTATGGACTGTAAATGAAAGTAAATTACAGTTGTATAAATAAAAGAGGTTTTCTGGGACTAAGTTTGTACTGTTTACTTTCTAAGGAAGCCTAGGTCAGAACAAGGATTCATTTTAGGATGACTAACCACAGTTTGCATGTTGGAGGTTCCTAAAGGAATGTTGGGAAACTCTGTATTTTAAAGAACATTTGAGGGAGGGGTGCAGAATAGCCCTTCTCTGCCTGAGGCTGTAGAGACCTGGCACCAATGAAAACACTGTTTGTGAAGCAACTGATCAACACTGATAGGGTAAGCCACTAGTATATGAAAATAAGAGCAAACTCCACTCCCTTCTAGTACTGATGATATTACCTGGTTTGGTAATGAAACATCTGCAAGACAATCATCAAGCTCAGAGACCACCAAGGACCCCCCAGTTCAACCCTGAGCTACAAATATTCTCTTCTATTGATAAACACTTTTTGGTTAGAGGGACTCAGAGCCTGCTTTATATGAGATGGCTCCCAGTGGATTTCATTCTAAATTTTGATATGATTTCTGTAAATAAGGAATGTAGAATTATAATGGCTGAGTCTTTGATCCTTCATACATCAAAAAAATACAAAGCTAAGGGATAAACAAATAAAAAACAGAAAAGGTTCAGGAAAGAAAAAGAGTGAAAGTGTAAGAAAGAGGAAAAGAAGGAAAACCAAAAAAGAATGAGTTCCAACTTTTTTTGGTACAGATATAAGTAAAATATATATCAAATTCTTACTCTAAGATTAACATTTGTCTACATTATTTCCATAATCCCATATCTAATCATCTTTTAATTTTAGTTTCTCACAAAAAGTCCAGTAATGGTTCATATCGCTTTAATCACTATTTGTTAAGGAAACCACAACTGATTTAATTGCACCAAACTCTAAATAAAACAGGAATGGAAAATCCTAAATTCTAGTGTAGACCCATGCTTCTCAACTCTGGCAACTTTAAGGTGCATGGACTTCAATTCCCAGAATTCCCAAGGCAGCATGAAGTTCGCCCATCTTCAACTTGCCAAGACTGAAAAACATTGATCTATAGATAGGGATTTTTCCATTCCTCTTTACTGGTTCTTACTTACTTATAAGCAATCATAATGCAAAATCTTCACTTCCACCCCATTCCAGAGCAACCACCATTTCCTCACTAACCTACTTTCCAGCTCCGTTCTCCTGTGTGCAGAGTAACAAAAGAAGACCATGTGACTACCAGTTTAAAAAAGGTTCAATCAGACCTTCCAACTTCTCAGGGAAAAAAAGATCTCGCAAAGTTGGAAGGTCTGACTGAACTGACTGATCAGCCTCCCAGCTGATCGGTGTGGCCGGTCCATTTGCCTCCCAGCTGATCACCGCAGCTCCCAGTCATGCCCCTGCAGCCTCCCCACCCTGAATGGCAACCCCGGGGGGGGGGAAGGGGGAGCAGGGGCCAGCCAGTGGTCAGAACAACCGGTTCACCAAACTACGCAAAAAATTAACAACAGGTTTGGTTGAACTGGTGCAAACTGGCTGAATCCCACCACTGGTTTCTTGTCATTAAAATTACAGCTTAATAACAATTTTTGGATGTGTCTGGGTCCCATATGCCAAATCACACTTTGTTAAGAAAAATGCCTATGTTTTGCAAAATTGATTTGGGTTTGATTTAGTGAGCAATAATTATTTGGATTATAGCCCAATAATTTATACTATCCAAATTAAACTGAATAAAATCCATCTTCCAATTATCCAGATGAACTTTATGCTCTCAGAAATTTATCATGCCTTGAACCCAAGCAGTTATATGTTTACATTACATCTATCTGACTTGGGAACTTTTAGTTCCTGTCTCAGCCTTCAAAATCCCTATGACATGAGTTATCTGATCTATGGAGTCTAGAGTTTGATGTACAATTTTGAATAGACTGCTTTTGCTGGAAATAAGAATTTATGTATGGTAGCAAATTGATTTATATATAGATATTTCTTTAAGTAATTTAAAATGTGCATTTTATTTACAGAATAGAAAAAGTCTAATAATTCAATAAGAATCCATATAAAGTGCTAAAATCAAGTTATACCTGAGAAAACATAAGCACATCAAAAAAATATAGCACACAAAATGAAAATCGACAGGAAATAATGGCATACAAATTCAAGGCTGTATCCAGTTAATGAAATTGGACTTTTACTGAATCAAAGAGCTTTCTAGTCATAGATAATACCAAATAGCACTATGTTATACAAACATTTAAAGTGGTATAACACATAGGTGTTTGAGGAGAGTGATTTAGCAAAAACATCCCAGACATCCATTACATTCATTTTTTCTTCTATGAAAAAAATTATTGAGAATGGAATTCCCTGATCCACTAATTTAGGTACTTTATCAAAGAGAGCAATAATGTTTGTCTGACACAATCTGCTTTTAACAAACCCATATTGGTTTCAAGTAATCACCTTGTTCATTCCTAGGTGCTCACAAATTTGCTGCTTCATTACAGTTACCCTGAAAAAAAGATCGTCTTATATTTTTTTGAACCCTGAAATAAGCGCCTGGCCTTATTGCCATGCGCTCAAAAGCCCGATTGGACTTATTATCAGGGGATGTCTTATTTTGGGGGAAACAGGGTATCTTTTCTAGGATTTTCCAAGGTATTGATGTCAAATTGATTGGTCTGTAATTTCCTGGTTCCACTTTTTACCCTTTTTGAAAATTGGAACCACATAAGGCAGGGTGTCAAACTTGATTTCATTGAGGACCACATCAGGATTGTGTTTGACCTTGGGGGGCCAGGGTGGGCATGGCCAGGGTGGACATAGCCAGCTCATCACTCAGGTCGGGGGCACCTGTGGTGGGCCAATCACTCTGCCAGCGAAAACAGGCTTCCAAGCTCTGTTTTCAGCTGCAATGGCTTCTTGCAACCTTCTGCTAGCAAAAACGGAGTTTGGGAGGGCAGCCTGCGGCCGTTGTGAACTCCATATTTGGCTGCAACAGCCTCCTGCAACGTTCTGACTGGCAGAGGCACTGCGGGCCAGTCCTTTGCTGTTTTCAGGGCAGCACCGCAGACCAGATCTTTTTTTTTAATGTTTTATTTACTTTATTTCAATAAGATGTAAAAATTCCATTTCAATCAAACTGTGTGTTGTCTGGGTACAGTTGTTTTTAGGCAATTGTAATCAAAATGCTTACAATAACATTCATCACAATAACATTGATACTATAATAACAATAATATTTAGCTTGTCTGTTTTATCAAATTTTCATTTTAACATTTATCCTTTTTATGTCCCTGCATTTCTAACTTCTGTTTTTATTGTCTAATCATTGGTAAAATAAGTTCCGTGTCATAAAGTATTCAGTTTCTTCTTTGTCCTTAATAGTAAGCATTAGTCTATCAATTTCTGCACATTCTAATATTTTCTTAATGACACTCTCATCTGTTGGGATCTCATCACACCTCCATTGTTGAGCATATACAATTCTAGCTGCAGTTAATACATGTAAAATCAAATATATAGTCCCTTTGTCATATTTTTTCCAGCAGAATGCCCAATACAAATATTTCTGATTTCATGTGCTGCTTCATAATTTTTTCCAACCAAGTATGTATTCTCATCCATTTTTTGGCTTTTGGACATGTCCACCACATATGGTAATGTGAACCTGGTATTTGATTGCATTTCCAGCATTTAGCAGATCTATCCTTATACATTTTTGCCAGTCATGTTGGTGAAAAATGACATCTATAGAACATTTTATACAAATGTTCTTTATATGCAGTTGATATAGTCAATTTAACATTTCTATCCCACAATTTCTGCCATTTGTCTAGTTCTATTGCATATCCAAAATTTTTAGCCCAATCATTGTCTCCTTTACCTGCTCACTTTCAAGTTTAATACCTAATAAGTAACAATATATTTTCTTTATCAGTTTTTCATCCGTTCCAGTTAATATCTGGTCCAATTCTGTTGATTCTTTATTGAAACCATACATTTTAGCATCTTTCTCATATCGACATTGTATCTGCATTTGTGGCAGGGGTGGGTTCTACTTACCTCCGCTACCGGTTCACAATGGGAGCACGCACACTTCTGCACATGTGCAGATCATTCATGATGACGTCCGGGCGGAGCCTCCCGCCACCATTACTACCAGTTCGCAAGAACTGGACCGAACTGGGACCAACCCACCACTGATTTGTGGCCACTATGCAATGTCCATCCCTTGTTCCTGCTTGGTTTTTAATTCCCCTTTTTCATTCAAAATATCTTTATAAGCTTACAATTTTTTCCATATTAATAACGTTAGGATGTATCAGTGCTTCCATTGTGGAAAGCCAGACTGGTATTTTCAAGTAGTGTTGTTTTTTAATTTTAAACCATACTGATAACAGTGCATTTCTAACATAATGTCTGTGAAAGTAACTATGTATCTTATTCCCATACCATAAAAAAGCATGCCAACCTAGTTGAAGGTCGTGTCCTTCTAAAGTTAATAGTCTTTTATGCCTCAAATTGGTCCATTCTTTCACCCATGTAAGTACCGAGGCCTGGTAGTACAATTCCCACTCTAGCAGCCCAAAGCCCCCTCTTTTTTTGGAGTCTTGCAATATTTTCAAACTTATTCTTGCTTTTTTCCCTAGCCAAATATATTTTAATATTATTTTGTTTAATTCTTCAAAATACTTTTCTCCAATTGTATTGGAATTGTTTGGAATAAATATAATAGTTTTGGTAAAATATTCAATTTTATAGTAGCTATTCTTCCTGTTAATGACAATTGCAGATCTTTCCATTTCTCCCAATCTAGTTTAATTTGTCGCATCAGTTTCATATAATTGTTGTCTTTAATTGTTGCATATTATGCTGTTAATTGTATTCCTAGGTACTTTACTTTTTTAACCATCTGTATATCAATTCTTTCCATCAACACTCTTTTTTATGTATCTGTGAGATTTTTAACTAAAATCTTTGTCTTATCTTTATTTATTTTCAGTTCTGCAACTTCTCCATATTCTTCTTTCTGATTAACTTCGGTCCAGTTTTTAATGGGTCTTCTAATATAAAAACCAAGTCAACTGCAAATGCCTGTAGCTTATATTTCTCTTTTTTTATTTCCATTCCTTTTATTTCTTCATCTTGTTGAATATTTCTGGCTAAGACTTCTAAGGCACTGTGGGCCAGATCTAAGCACTCTCTCCCTCCTAGATGGGCAATATTCAATGTATATTCTTGATTTTTGTAGCTCTTTTACCTTATGGTTTAAACCAAGCCTAATAATGAAGGGCAAAATGCCACTATTAAATACATTCATCAGTATTTCACTGACTTTTAAATTTACTATTAGTGGATAGACAAATAATCACATCCCATCCCTATGAAAGTTTTGGATATGGCTTCCAGAGACTTTCCAAACATTACAGCCAAACTGTAATATTTAATGTGGCAAATGGAGAACATAAAGATATGCTGAGTAATCATATTAATTTCATTCACTAGTTCATCTTATTTTAATGAAATACGAGCCTGGTGGCGCAGCAGACTAATAGCCTGTTATTAACATTCAGCTGCCTGCAATTACTGCAAGTTCGAATCTCCCCAGGCTCAAGGTTGACTCAGCCTTCCATCCTTTCTAAGGTAGGTAAATTGAGGACCCAGTTTGTGGGGGCAATAAGCTGACTTTGTATAAATATACAAAAGTATGAAGGCTATTGCTTAACGCATTGTAAGCCACCCTGAGTCTCCGGAGAAGGGCGGCATATAAATCAATTTTTTTTAAAAAATTGGACTTTCTTCCCCTTGCAGCATTCCAAGGTTTACAAGCATCCAAATTCAGTCTTCAAATCCTATACTAAAAAATGAATGGAATGAAGAGGGGCATGGGACTAAGTTAGCTGTAGGAAGGATGGGAAGATGGGCTATATTAGAATGGAATGGAATGGAATGGAGTGGAGTGGAGTGGAGTGGAGTGGAATGGAGTGGAGTGGAGTGGAGTGGAGTGGAATGGAGTGGAATGGAATGGAATGGAATGGCATAGAATAGAATAGAATAGAATAGAATAGAATAGAATAGAATAGAATAGAATAGAATAGAATAGAATAGAATAGAATAGAATAGAATTCTAGAATAGAATAGAATAGAATTTTTATTGGCCAAGTGTGATTGGACACACAAGGAATTTGTCTTGGTGCATACGCTCTCAGTGTACATAAAAGAAAAGATACATTCATCAAGAATCATAAGGTTTATTTCTCTTTCTGTTAGAAAAAATGCCAGAGGATAGCAAAATCTTGATTAGCAAGCATAATTGATAAAACTTTATTCTGTTAATAGTTGTAGTGATTTTTGAATTATCTTACCAAATGCAAGCAAAAACAAAAGAGCTTAGCTTATCACAGTTAAAATGAATTCCCATTACTCGGCCAAACCATAATGGCAAAAAATAACTTTATAGAATCTTGAGATATAAGTTATTGCTTACTTTGATTCATTACTTTCTTTAGTAAAATTATTAGATACATTATATAAGTGATAGTGATGTTCTTTTGTGAAATAGTTATGAGACAAGCACACTCTCTGACAAAAGAATATCCAGTAGAAAACAATCTATGAAGCTCAGTTTTACTGTTTGGTTCTTGGTGCTCTCTGAGTTTGACTGTTTCCTTGAAAACATTTTCTTTTCTGGCTAAGTAGCATCACTGGTGCACACTAAAGATATTACCTAACCCGGTAATGTAACATCTGCAAGAAAACAACCAAACACAGAGACCACCAAAACCCAACATCCAGTAAAAGCTTATTTTCAAAATGAGATGAAAGCAAATGTTAATGTCTAAAATGCAATCCTATAGGAATTTACATCACATTTAGATTAATGGGATATTTACTGAGAGTTTTAATTTTAATTTCAATGGGACCTAAGTAAGACTAATTTAGGCTTCTTACTTGACATATGGTCGTCTAGGATTGCTTTGAGTGAATGTACCTTTGTTTCTGGATACAATAATATAATTAAGGCCAATTTAATGACATACCTTTCCAATAAATTAGAGTAGGTATAGTATTGTCTCAGTTTTAAAGAAAACCAATTCTTGAATGAAAAACAATGTATCTTACCCCAGCCTATTAAGATAAAACCCCATAGGTACTTGGTTTCCGAAAAGAAAGCCACAAATATTAAGCTGTGTAGATAGAGACCTTCGACCAAAATCCAATAGTAATTTGTTGCCAAGAAGTAAATAAACATCACCACAGTAATCTTGCACCACACCTATTGATCAAAAACAAAAAATATCCAGCAGCTGTATTGGGGGAAACAATTAAATCTAACAGTATACTAACTTCATTGTCAAAAAAACATTAAATAGATATAATGAGGCATTAAAACTAAGAGTAGAGCTACTTATACTTTTCAACTTTTTTTTTGTCTTCTGAAACATACTTAAAATGTGTGACAATAACAGAATTCAATAGGAAAAACATCCCCATTCAGTTACTGCAAAATATTTAAATGCGGCCTGCCTTATATTAACATTTTTTTCGATACCAATGTTGCTTGAGATAGTTCACTGGGGTACACTGCAGCAATAATGAGCAACTAAATTGTGTTGTACCAACTTCCATTAATCCCAGATAGCCAAAGAAAGTGAGAAATACAGCTCAAAATATTTGGAAGGCAAATATTGTCTGTCTGTCTATCTATCTCTATCTTTATCTATCTATCTGATTCAGAGATGTATTTCCTTAAAAAAACAAAGATCTATTGAGAAGTTGAAGTTCACAAATGCACAGGTAAGCAAACAAAGCTGATTCATCAATAATGATCTGGGGAAAAATGTGGCCAAAGTGAAGTAGCTTTCTATATAGCCCAACACAAGCACTGAACTCCTTAATGTTTTATAGCATGATAGCCCAATCAGACAAAGCAGACCTCATAGTCTGGCTTCTGAACAGTGTAAATTCAAACAACTACCCTGGATTGGATATATCCATGTCAATAAATTGGTCTTCTACTCTAGTGCCAAAAAGTGTTGCCAACAGAATATCAGTATAAGATTTTGTGTAAGGTGGACAGACTAGCTACAAGCAAAGAAAGGGTTTCTGCTACCGTTCCAATCAAAGGTGGGCCCAAGACTCTTACTATTCCTTCAGATGCTCCAGCATGTAAACCAGAGTTAAAAAATGCTACAGCAGGTCAGGTCAGATGGCATTTCTAATCTATGTAATAGGTCATCAAAAAAAGATTATCTTCTACTTTCACCAATCCTGGTTAATTATACTCCCATCCCTGTATTTTCAATTGGGAAGCAATCTAAATGAATACCGTATTTTCCGGCGTATAAGACGACTGGGCGTATAAGACGACCCCCTACTTTTCCTGTTAAAATATAGGGTTTGGGCTATACTCGCCGTATAAGACTACCCCTCTTCCAACGCACACCAAATAAAAATTAAAAAACATCAGATTTGATTTCAATATGGTAATTTTAATTCAAATGCTTATGCCTTTCCAAGGATCTAGTACACCAGGATACAGTGGCCTTAAATCTGTTGCTGTGATCTGGGTTAGATTTGGCCCACTGAAGTGCAAACAAACGTATTTTATTTCGTGTCACTACATAACCGTTTTGGCGATGCTCATTCACCATGTCTGCTACATGTTTTTCGAGTTCTGGCCAATGTGGGGTACCTCTTCTTAATGCACACTTACCCCTTGGCATACTCTTTAACGCTTTTACATTTGCTTTCCAGTCCCGAACCATCTTTTCTGTTACTCCATGTTGTCTTGCAGCAGCACAGTTATTATGTTCCATGGCAAAGTTTACAACTTTAAGTTTAAAACTGGCTTCATATTTCTTTCTTCTTGCTGGTGGAGCCATGATGGGGTCTTGACTGTTATATTTGTATACTATACTGTATGTACTGTTGCTGTACTGTATGTATTGTTGCTGTACTGTAGAGAAAGGTAATGGGCTACGCTACGTGTAGTGGCAAGAGGGCTATTTTGTACCAGGTTTTTTTCCTTCACCCATGCAGCCTTGTCGAGATCCGCACACTTCATGAATCTGAGTTGCTGGCACTGACTGATGACATTGACAGAAAGCTGTGCCAATCTAGTCAAGGCTGCATGCTGCTGAATGCTGGAACCAGCTGGCTGCTGAGCGGAGCTTCTCCCAGGCATCTAGGGGGGTATTACCGACGCTCCGACTTCCCCAGCTGACCCCCACTGATGGCGAGCTCCACCGGTCTGGGGAAGTCAGAGCGTTGGTAATATCTCCCTGGATGCCTGGGGGAAGCTCCGCGCAGCAACCAGCTGGTTCCAGCATTCCAAGGAGGTCCACGGTGAAAGCGGCGCCGCGGTCGACCTGGGCCAGCACCTTGCACACCTGGCTCTGCGTCTCCATTATGAGAAGCTCCATGCGACTTCGCATGTCTCCGCCCCAGTCGCGCAGCTCTCGCAATCCGCACACCGGAGGAGCCATGAAGTGCTCGCACCGCCTTGCCTGATCTTCCTCATCCTCCTTTCCCCATGGCTTTTCCGGTTGTAATTGCTGCTGCTGCTGCCGCCGAGGCTGCTCCTTCATCTCCACCCGCCGCACCAGACCCAGCCCGGCCAGCACCGCCGTGGCTCCCGCAGTCCAAGCGGATCGGCACCCTGGCTCGCAGGCGAAGGGTGGGAGTGCGCAGCGCACTTTCCTGGCTTGGCGCCAATCCGGACGGCTGCAGTAATGGTGAGAGCGGGCAACCTCGGGAGAGCCATTTCGGGACTCCGTTTTGCACATGTAGCGGATCCCAGTTACCAAGAAACCCGGAGAAGAGGCACAAGGGGGGTTTATCAAAAAGGAGCTTTAAAAGAGGTCTCGATACAGAGGACGCGGCGAGCATGGACACCGTCCACACAAACAGGCACCAAAGTCTCACTGCGGCAACGTTAAGCCGCGACTTTACACGCCTCCTAGTTTTAGGCTGCTTGTTCCAATGCCTTCGCGATAAACCGGCAGAATCAAAACTCTTTTTTTCTTTCTTTCCCTCTCTCTCTCTCTCGGTGGCTTTGAACCCGTGGAATTGGGGGGGGGAGAGGGGGAATGTTATCAGCAACAAACAACAACTAAAAGTGTGTGTTTGTGGAGAGGGGAGGTAGTGGTAAAGGCGGCAGACCGGTTTTTTTTCCCCCAAGCCGATCTCTTTCGCGGCGTATCCAGCCCGACCCCATTCAGGAGAAAGGCTGCAGCCGGAAAGAAACGGGGGGGAAAGACATCTGCACCTTTTGTTACATACACACACACGAAACCCACAGTTTTCTGGCCTCTCGCGCAGATCTGTTGTGGGGTGGGGTGGGTGGGAGCCACATAATTCCGGGAGGCGAAAAGGGGCGCAGGGATATTTCCAGAAATGAGCGAAATAATGCAATCCACGCAGCGACGCCCATATTCTCCCGTTCAGATTCTACCTCTGGCTGAGAGAAAACTGCCTTGAAAGTTTCTCTGCCCCCCCCACCCTTTAAACCCAAGACCCTGCCTCGTTTGCAGACTAGAGCACTTCTTTCCCCCGCCCGATTAGCCCAGGTTAAAATCTTAAAAGCTCGGGCGCCCCTCAAGCCGCTTCTCCCGACATTGGGATGAACGAGAAAGCCGTTTTAGCTTCACCTATTCTTCCACACACACCCCTCCACCCCGGAAGGTAATTTAGCGCTGCTCCTCCTTTCCCCATGGCTTTTCCATTTTCCCCAAATTTGGGGTAGAGTGGGGACGCGTTCCTTTCTCGTGGGCCGTGCACTGCCTGGCACCTCTTGTAGGTTGGAACTAATTTGGAGTACAGCTTCCCCTCAATGTTGCCGGCGCTCCCAAAGTGTCATCGGTCAGCGCCAGAAACTCAGATTCGGGTACCCGGCGTATAAGACGACCCCCGACTTTTGAGATGATTTTCCTGGGTTAAAAAGTCGTCTTATATGCCGGAAAATACGGTATATATTCTCAGATATTGCCATTAAATTTTATTGATCCTAAATTACTTTAAACAAAGGCATATATTTACACATAAATACTCAGCACAAGTATGGAAACCAATGACTACTGATTTGGGTCTGCATCACTTAAAGGACCAGAAATTAGTTCTGGGACTGAAATATTCATGGAACAGACATTGCCTCTGGAATTAATAGCTTTGATGGCTGAGGAAACTCTGGAGTGAGGAACTTGAAAAACAAGAGAGTGCAATACTTACATACTGAGATCTGTCCATTACTGGAGTCTGTATAATATTTTGTAGGTCACTTGTGAGTAGTGAGTCAAAATCTTTGTCTCCAAAATGAGGATGAACAACTTTATCTTTAATAAAAATGCTGATAGCTCTGAGCATGAAAGAGACAAACAAATGCAGATGTATACAATTCCGGGTGCAGTGGAGCCTCCTAGTTGGGGAAAAAAACTTTTTAAGGGGACATAGAAGGATCATATTGTTTAGTGTCTCTTTCCAATGAGGCAGTGAAACTAAAATTCTCCCTTATTTTTTGGTCTCTGGCATCTATTGCTTAAAGATGCATTATTTCTGAACATGGTAGTTCCATTTTGATATCTTAATAAATAGCTATGAGACATTATTTACTGGTAGTTTTCCTCTTGAATTTGGATATTTTTTTTAAAAAAAGGAGCCAGATCAATAAGCATCACAAAGTCTTGTGGGTATGGCTGTATTAATCTTAACAAACAAACAAAAAAAAAAAGACAAAATGACAATTTTGAAGAGGGACAACTAATACAGATAAGTGCATAATACAGTTCAATGGACCTGCTTTTAAAATCAGAAACTATTTTCGTCCAAGATCATTTGAGAGAGAGAAAATAATCTTTTCTACATTCTAATCAAAAATTACCTGTTACAAAACATTTTCTCCATGAATTATTCCATGGATTATATATTTCACATTGCTTCCAGAAATGATTCAGCTGTAAAATAATGTGTTTTGCACAGGAAGGATTGAGCTTGAGCTCTGTTGTTATGTCTTTTCAGAGAGGAGAGTCTCCCCCCCCCCCCCCCCCCCCCCCCCCCCCCCCCCGCTGAATAATCCATAATGCTCCAGTTTATACCTATTTTGTTTTGGCTCAACTCAGTGATGTTTGTAAACGGTGGCTTAGAGTTCAGAATGATATGTGATCCCATCTACATGGTTTATTGAACAACCTATCATTGAGATAAATAAAAGTTTAATGTATTGGGTGAATCCAGATTGTTTATAATTGCAGAAGTTTGGTGCTAAACAGGGTTTGGGAGACTGAGATTACAGCCACAGAAGGAGCTGAGAATAAATTTAATCCTTTTCAGACTTCTTTTGTTCAGAATCCTAGGATTTCATCTTCATAAACACTGATGTACCCATTTCTTCTTTCTGTTTTTTTTTTAACTGTTCCAACTTACCATACGTGCATGTGTGTGTTTAAGAGAGAGGAATGAAATTTCATCCAAGATACTTTGTTGGATATGGGTAATTCTAAGCCATGAAACTTGATTTTATTATCCTGTTTCATTTATCAATGTCAGCAGAAGACTATGAATTGCAGATGAATGGCGGTATGATTTAGGCCTCATTTAAACAAGTGATTATGAATCAGTGGCCTGCAAGCCAAAATCAGCTCTGAAAGCCTCCCTGTGCATCCCACTCAAGTATCTCATCTCCACAGTTTATGGCCCTTCCCCTAACTTATCTATCTCCCCTTTGGGCTTTAGACCATTAGAAGCTTGAGATGATGCCCCCTCACAATTTTTACTTTTTAATATTCCTTTCTGCTCTACTCTAAAGCTAGCACTAGCTTTTCTTAGTACTCTGATCTGGATGAAACACTACTATATAGATATATTTTATAAATATAAAAATATTATTTTTATAAATAAAAAATAAAATAAATATGTCTTTATAAATATGGCTCCTTCCATTTTGCCCCCCTCCGTCATCTAATTAGGTCCCCACTCAGTATCACCTCTGCTTGCTCCAAACATGGCTTAAGCTTTGGTTTCTTTCTCTCTACAATGCGATATTTTGAGAAAATGAAAGGAAGAAAGAGACCAGATTTGCATCATATTAAGCCATAGATTGCCTTAAACATGGTCTGTAACCATCACCGATCACATATTATGCTTATGACTTAGAAATACAAAGTCTGGGTTCACGTTTCATATCAAGGTAAAGCAAACCATGTTTTGGTTCAATATGATGAGTAAAGCAGCCAGATAGTGGTATGAGGATTAGGGTGAGATGTGTGTCTTTGTCTTTGTGTGTTGTGAATGCAATATCTACATAGTTTTTGCTCTAGCTCCACTTGCTGCTACCTCAGTAAATCACTCACCTGAAGTAGCTAATGATGAAAATAGCCACAGCCAGAGAGGAGAAGGAAATGGAGTATCCCACTGTGTACATGACAGAGAGACGTTCAAAGAATTTCCTCTGAAGAAACAACAGCAGAACTTCTCAATATCAGTTTACTTGGGTAGAGAATTGTTAGCTGTGACTTTATCTTTAATTTATTTCATGTTAAAAATCAATAATTTCTTACATGTATTTTTTACAGAACAGAACTGAACCTGGAATGCACTCAACAACTACAATTGTGATGTTCAGAGCTAGTCTACTAATTTCAGAGATAGTCTAATCATGGCACATTGAAAGATGTCACATATTCTAAAGAACCACATAAAGGCAAAGTTTCTCAGGAAATAGTATGTTAGACAACTAATTTCTATTTTGTTTTTCTGAGCATGTGCCAGATCTCTTCTGTAACAAAAGAGAAAATGACCAAGCGACCTGGAGAAGAAGATCTAACCTGTTTAATTCTTTTTGTCCCGTATTTATGGATGGCATCATGTGTCATTAGAGATATTTAGGTGCTCAATATTTCTACAATAGCCCATTTTGTTTCTCTTCTCCTTATCTGGATTAAGAGCCCATACCTTTTGCAGACTGATTTCTGTTTGCAGGAAATGGAGGCACTCAGAATAATTAGACCATGTTCGGTTTAAACTGAGCACATAAGCCCATGTTCCATTTGAATTACAATGTCGGAAGGCCATTCCTGTAAGAAAGAATTAACATTTCCATTAGTTTGAGGATCTTTTTTTCTCCCTGATACTATGCAAGGTCAGTAATTCAAAAGGAAAAGGAGCATACCTTGGTGATTAAAATCATAGATGTAAGAAGGGCAAGGCACAGCTAAGGTTTTTCCTGCTGACCCCCTGGGCCAGCAGATTAGACCATCCCATTCGGGAAAGCACTCCTCTCCTGCTGAAAAATGAAAGAAAGTAGCTGTGAAGAAAAGCCATGGAACTGCTTGAAGAATTTCATTTAAAAAGCACATGAAAAATGTTTTTAGAATATTTCACCCAAATTAGCTGGGAAATGTTACTGATGAATGAGAGAATATACTTTCCATTTCACAAACTGAAGCTATGAACAAAGGGGAACAAAAATACAGGCAGTTTCTCTCATTTTGGTAAATAATTGCGATACTCACTTGACTGTGTATATGTTTATTATAGAATAGCCATATTATCTGTTATAGTAGCAGGCTATTGCATCTGAACACTACAAAGAAAGTAACATGCCATCTTGCTTATTTTCCACATTTCTTATTCATTTCGTATTTCTATATTTTGCCAAGAATCATTTCATCAGTGCAACCATTCTGTGAAATAGGATGGCTAAAGATTTCCCTCTACTTAAAAGTCAGCCCTACTGCTTATGAGTGAACTGGTTTTTTAGGTCCTAGAGCCACAATCCTGCACTACCTTAACTAGGAGTAATAATCTCACCAAATTCAATATAAAGGCAACCAAGTAAGTGTTCCTGCTTGAACTCTATGTAATGTAATGTAATACCAACTCTTTTACTCAATAGAGGCATTCAGTTAAGCTCAGATTTAAAGGGTAAAATCCTCTCTTAAATCTCTGGGATTGTACACTCAATGCCAAAACTGAATGCTCAGTGCTCAGAGAATACCTTCTCTGAAAATAGATTAGAATGCCTGTTTGTTCAGACCAAAGTCCCCAAAACAGGACTCTTTTCTTTGGAAGGAAATAAATATACATTTTCAGGGAAATTCTAGTATCTTTGTAGTTTCCACTCACTTTCACTAAATTGACAAGGAATTCAGCAAGCAAGGGCAAGGTCTTCTTTTGTCTTTTAAAGAAGCAACTATTCGTTCTTCCACTACTCCCGTACCTGCCGAAATGCAGCATTCTGACAAACACAGCTCATAGTACATTAATCTGGGTGTTGTTGCTGTTGTTCTTTAGCATTCTTCCCACTTAGTTACAAGGTCCATATATTTTGTAGTGTGCTTGTTTAGTTCTCACAAGGCTTATCTATATATGATGAGGCAAGGGGGATGCAGAGAACCCAATCGGCTTGCTGAAATTGTTGATTTGGGCTGAGAGCAAATCAGTCTCAAATCAGTCTTTCTTCAGAGACTAAGAAATAACTGCCGATAGTCTTCAACTTACAACTGTAAGGGAGCCTCCCATTATGGTTTGTAAGTTGTGACAGTCTTAAAGTGGATCATTGTGTGACCAACTTGATTTTTTGACCTATTTTTGTAGAGATTGTTAAGTAAATCACCATGGTCATTAAGTGAATCTATGGTCATTAAGCAAAGTGCAGACGTTAAGCAAGCCCCTTGTTCAATGTAAAACTGGAAGCAAACACCTGTTTTTGGCAAAAACAACTGCAGGACAGTGCACACTGCTATAGATAAAATATTAGATTCCCGTGTTCATGTCACCATTCCATAATCTGCACATTTGTTTCTATGCATATTCGTATGTCTTATATCTAGGCAGTCTTGGATCTGAGCCACCCAGTGCCATCCTAGTTAAGGTAATCTTAGTGCAGTCAACACACCAGCTGCATTCAGATCTCCCAGACAATGTTTGAAGGGGAAGAGGGAGCATCAACATGACTGATACACATAGCTAAAGATAAAACACAGCCAGAAAAATAAACAGCAAAACATATTTTGTCTCCTCAGTTTCATCACTTCAGAGAAGAAAGGGGGTGGAGAGGGGAACTATATTTGGAAATTAAATGTGTGGGAAGCTCTTTTACTAAATGAAATTTTTGCTTTCTTATGTTTCTAAATTGCATTATTCATTGCTATTACAGTGATTTTTTAAAAAATTCAGGATCAGACCTTTCACTGCCTGGCATCAATCTAAATTCATTTCTCTTTCTTGTTTATCTATCTTTACTCATGCTTTATTAAATCACCAGTTATAGTGAACATGGTTTTTTCTATTTCTTTTTTTTTTCCATTGTATTTCTGCTGAGATTTAGGTTCTCTTATCCCAGTAGGAGGGAGGTAACTATTTAGAGCAGGGGTGTCAAACTCGCATTGTCACATCATCATGTGATGTATCGCAACTTTTTCCCCCTCTGCTAAAACGGGGATGAATGTGGCCAGTGCGTGATGCATCCGGACTGCGGGTCGCAAGTTTGACACCCCTGATTTAGAGCGAGGTTAAAAGAGGGAGGTAACCATTTAGATTTCTTCCTCCTTCCCTCTCTTTCTTTCAGTGATATTTTTTTGCATCTAAGTAGCCTGCCATTCCTTCCAATTTCTCTTTGCAGTGATGATTATGCTTCTTTGGTTTTTCTCAGATTCACTTATAATCAGGTTTTCTGATTTTCAGCTGAGTCCTTAAAGTAGCCTTATTTTTTTCCAGTCTTGTATAGAATAACCTGAAAAATTCATGAGCAGCAAAAGGTGTTTACATTAGGTCCAAGTCTCTTCTGAATCATTCTTGAACTGTGCAGGGTCCAGTGGCTCATTCCTGATTAAAGCCTGACATCAGTGCTGCAGGCAGGCCAGGAGAATATTATGGTTGGGGCAAAGAGATTTGCTGCTATCAGCAGACTTTGAACAATCCTTGTGCCTGAATTTTAGACAAGAGGGTAATGAAAACATCCATGTTCTCAGCACAGAAGCCTATATATCAAACAATAAGGGTGTATTTCCTTGCATTCCATCCATGTCTACATTTTAAAATAATTTTTAAAATCCTGGTCAGAATAAGAAAATTAAATTACTAAAATACCTCACCTCTTTCTTCTTGTACCTGAGCTGTGAGGTTTTGTTCACATTGAACTTTGGCTTCCAGAAGGAGATAAATCTGATCCTCCATTGTAATGGTATTATCCAATTCCTCCTAATAAAGAAAACCAGTGTGGAAATCAAGTGAGTGATGAATACGCTTCTTTGTGTAGAGCAGTGGTTCTCAACCTTCCTAATGCCGCAACCCTTTAATACAGTTCCTCATGTTGTGGTGACCCCCAACCAGGGGTGGGTTTTAAATTTTTTTACTACCGGTTCTGTGGGTGTGGCTTATTTTGTGGGCGTGGCTTAGAAGTCATGTGACTGGGTGGGTGTGGCTAGCTGGTCATGTGACCGGGTGGCCATGGCTATGTGTATAGGGACTACTCAGAGGGCTGAAAAAAGTCATTTCTGACAGGTCCTCGCACTTTTGACTGGTCCTCACACTTATGACCATCCTCACATTTATGCCCGTGCAGCATTCTTAACAACCATGTCACTCATTTCACAACTGCTTCTTTTCACCATGGTGACAAGATAGGGCAAAAACGTAAAATGTGAGGACAGTCGTAAGTTCGAGGACTGGTCAAAAGTGCGAGGACCAGTCAGAAATAACTTTTTCAGCCCTCTGAGTAGTCCATATGCATAAAAGGATACAGCAATAGAGAGGGATGAAGGAAGGGAAGGGAAATTAGAGTAGGAGTGAGGGTAAGAGAGGGAGGAAGAGAGGAGGAGAAGGAGAAAGGAAGAGGAAGTAGGGAGGAGAAGAAGAGGGGGAAGAAGAGAAAGTAAGAAGGAAAGAAAAGAAAAGAGAGAGGTGGTAGGTTTGAGGAGAAAGATTGCTGTACAATAAAAAAGATGAAAGGGAAGAAAGCCAACCCCAAACAAATATAAAGATACTAAGATAAAGAATGAATTGTTAAACTTTAAAAAATAAAAGAGAACAAATATGAATAAATAACAATGATTAGAAACACACATACAAACATACAATGTATTTTCTTTGAACAGAGTATTTGGCCGGTTCACAAATTTAAACAGTGTTTAGTCATTTCAATTAAATTTACAATTTCTATATTTCCTTTTTGCCATATTTATTCCTCATCTATTTTTGTAAAAAACCAATATTACCCTTCATCCTTATCTCTAATCTTAATCAAATTCAATTTTTCCCTTCTATTCTATATTATACCCCTTCCCATTGTCATCTATTTTTATATCCATCCTCACATTGGTTAATTATGTAATATTACAGTTGTTTAATATAAATTCAACATTTTAATATAAATCAATTAGTTATATAACTACCTTTTTTGTATATTAATCAATATGAACATGAATATTCTAATTATTTCCATGCAATCCAATTTCTTACAAATCAATTAATTATATTTACCAATAATAATAAACCAAATAATTTCCCCCATATATTCCTCCAAACCACAACTTAACCATTTTTGCTTTCAACACAATATACAGTTAATAGTATCTCAATTATTACAATTCCCTAGTTAAATAGAGCTTTTTTTCTTTTGTGTTTTAAAATCTTGAACTCTCCTCTTTTTCCCTTTTTTGGTGAGGAAAAAGAAAAGAAATCTGCCTGCCTAATTTTCCAACGTTGCAGCAACAGCAAAGCCAACAGCCTGCTTTACTTTCAGTTTCGTTTTTCAGCATAGCTAGTGGAAAAAAAATCTGCTCCAGCAAGCAGCAGAGCCCTGAGCAAAACAGCTGAGAGCAAATCAGCTGAGAGTCGGCAGCCAATCTAATCAAGGGCTAATTAGCCTATGCTGAAGCTCCGCGGGCCAATAAAATTACAAAAAAACACCAAACTGTTTGTTAAATTGCTGGCTCGCCCACCCCTCGCCCACCACTATTTATTGGCAATAAATAGTGGTGCAGAGGGGCGGGGCAAGGGGCGGGGCGGAACCAGCAGAATTCTACCACTGGCTATAGGGCGACCCTTTGAAGCCCCGCGGCAAGAATTTAAACAGTTTTTTTTCCTCTAGCCATCAGCTGGGACTCAGGAGGCAGCAATAGATTGGGAGTGGGCGGGGTAAGCAAACGGCCGGCGATCCAACAGAGCAGAGAGTGAGGGTGAGTGAAGGCATTGGGGGGGCAAGAGAGGACTTTGGCGACCCCTGTGAAATGGCCGTTCGACCCCCAAAGGGTCGCAACCCCCAGGTTGAGAACCGCTGGTGTAGAGGGATACAAATAAGAAGAAAAAAAGCTTTTAATGGTTGTACACCCATTCTGAAACTTCACCTTATGTATTTAATTATAGTATTGATACCCTGCCCCTGCTCTAATGGACTCCAAGGGATATACAGTGACATAAATTACGAACAACAACAACAAGAAAACCAAACGAAATGCTAGGGTAAACAGTTCAAGTAATATCATTAAGGCCCAGTAGTATGATTAAGCATCATGGAGACTCTTAAAACTAAACTAGTTGAAAGACTGAAGGCATTCTGGAACAAAATTATGTACAAAATTCCCGCAGAGTTATGGTCATTCATATTTCAGCAGGGAGGGTATTCTATAAAATTAGTGTCTGTGATGAAAAAAATGACGCTATGTATGAAAACTTGATCATAGTTATGTCCTCTATACCCTTTTCTTCTTTTGCTTGAATTACGTTATCCTGGGAAAGTGAGACTCTTTCTCTTACCTAACCTTCCATTTGGTATCAGTTTCTAAAGTTAAGATGAAACAGAAAGAATGAATTTTGGGAAGATATGCTCAAGACCCTTATTTAGGAGAAATACTATGTTTTTGTAATTATGTAATTCTTTACAACATACAGATGGGATGGACGCCTGTAAATTGTAGTACTGTATTTTTAAGAAGTCCTGATCGTTTATGGTCCTCACTGCTAATTCTTTCAAACATTGTTGAAAAGATTAAATCCAGCAAAAACAGAAAAAGTGCATAGGTGTCCTCATCATTTATCAACATATAACACAATAATCAGAAACTCCCCTCCCACTCATATGGGAAAAAAATATAATCAAATATAAATTAGTTCATAGAAATAACATTGTTAATGCCATTAACGTTCAGTGTAATTCTTTCCCTATGTCTTGTAGTTCCCAGCCTAGAAAGTCTCTGACATGGACACCAAAAATGTGGCCAAAATCTAAGGAAATTTTAGTTCTTTTAATTAAATAATCATAATTTGGGGATCCTATGGATGTTAATAGGGGAAACCATGTGTACTGCCCACAGGTACCATATCCTGGCTGTCGATTCTATGTTGAACCTTCAAAAGATGATGATGATGATGGTGATGATGATGATGATGTAATGGTCCACATTAAGGAAAAGTTTCTGAATCCTGGCCTAAATGCTCAAAGAATTTCACATTTATTAATTTGTTTGTTTCTTTGTATAGAAATATGGGAATATGGGAAAAGATAGTGTAATATGCATTTAACCAGCTATGTCTTCTGCAAGAGTACTCCAGTTAATTGCCCCTCTCCTTCCCCCCAAAAGTCAGTCTGCATTTCCTTATCTGTGTGAACTCACCAAGAACTAACTGGTTTCCAAAGTGTCTGAAACCCATTACGCATTACTCAACAAAGCAGGGATCTGCTAAATAACAGCAAAACTCAATACAGTGATACCTCGGTACTCATCGTTAATTGGTTCTGGGAGAAGTGATGAATACCAAAAACAATGATTACCAAACAATTTTTTTCCATAAGGAATAATGTAAATTATTAAATTAAAATTATAATTAAAAATTAATGCATTCCTGAACCAAAGACAATGCACATATTTAAGGCAATAAGTACAAAGATAGGGTTGTATATCATTAACTTACATGAGAAATTAACCTAAAAATTAATACATACTAAGATTAAATTAAATTAAATTTTCAGTTTACCTCTACTGAGAAGAGTCCATGGCCTAATAGGGTGGTGGGAGGAGAGTGGCGAGAAACCGAGGTTACATGGAGTGTTGCTTGGAAGGAGAGTTGCCCTCCAATAGAACATCGGGCACTTGCATGTGTTCTTTCTCTTTTCTGCCTTTTTTCAATTTGCATTACAGGCTCTGACATACTCTTTGTTTATCCAATGAGGACTGCTTTTGTCTTCTTTTCAGAATTCCTCGAAAGTATTAAACTTTTGGTCATTCAATAAATTCACATTTCTGCTTGCCAGAGCTTTGTTGGATGGTACTTCTCTACAAAGTTTTGAACTTCTGCCATTTTGCACACATTTCTTTAATCAAGGAACCAGGGACATCCTCCCTTATCTCCTCACCTGAAGAAATCTCTTTAGATGCTTCTTGTTGCTCTTCCTTCTGTAATTCCTGTAGCATCTCAGCTCTTCACAATGTTCCTGTAGCATCCTCAGCTCTTCACATGTAACTCAACATCAGCAGCATCAACCTCCAGACCAGTGGTGAAATCCAATTTTTTTTATTACTGGTTCTGTGTGCGTGGCTTGGTGGATGTAGTGTGGCTTGGTACGTGTGGCTTGGTGGGCGTGGCAGGGGAAGGATACTGCAAAATCCCCATTCCCTCTCCACTCCTGGGGGAGGATATTGCAAAATCTCCATTCCCACCCACTCTGAGGACAGCCAGAGGTGGTATTTGCTGGTTCTCCGAACTGCTCAAAATTCCTGCTACCAGTTCTCCAGAACCTGCTGGATTTCACCCCTACTCCAGACCCATGGATTGGCCCAAGATACAATATCCTGCAAGGGCATGCCTACCGTCCTTGTCCTAATATTCCTTTTTACTTACTCTTTTCATGTATTCAAATTATGTTTATACTTTTACCTTATATATGCTTATATGTATTCTCTTATATATGCTTGACAAATAAATAAAATAAAAATAAATATACTGTCTGTACTACCTGCAGGCTAGGGCAGCAAAAGATCAGACTCAAACTCTTCAAAGTCTCTCTTGAGTCACAGCTTCTGGCCACAAATTCTTCCATGCTGAATTCATTGTCCTATAAGAGACTTCATTCCAGGCCTTACCAATAAGATGAAGGCAGTGCAGGATATTGAACTGCACCTTTCAGAATTCTGAGAGGGTCAACTGGGTATCAGAGGATCTCGCCTCTGGAAAGTGCCTTGGTGTACAACTTTTGAAGTTTA